TAAAGAAGGCAGCGCCCCACTCTTCTTGTGTAAACCTAACTCATGCCTCAGGTATGTTTTGTTTTTCCTAGCCTTGTGTTCTTCCCTAGGCTGACCAGCCACAGCTCAGAGCCTCTGTAGCCAAACACATTTGCTGGATTTCTATTTCCCGTTAGTTTTTTTGCACAACCCAGACTTTGAATTGGCAGCATGATGTGTTGTCTGAAATCATTCAGCATGTTTGCCATTTCAGGTTTTAGCTTGCCCATCAAAATCACATGGGGACAGAAATCAGATTTTTTTTTCCCTTTTAAAGAAGACAGTCAAACAGTCAGCAAGAATTGTAATTGTTTATATGTAGCTTTGTCAAGATTGAAGATGGCAGTTAAGTTAAAAGGCTGGATCAATTTTCCACGCTTGCTCTCACACTTTTTACATTGTTCATAGGCTGCTTAAATGCGAGTTAGCTGTGGAGTTACTCACATTTTATTCCAGGGTGAACAAGGTACTCCTGAAACCACAGAAACCAATGATACAGGAGAAATAGGCCTGATGCTTTTACTACTCTGCCCCCTTCTGATTCTTCAGGCCCTGCAAGGCAGTTGGGGAGTGCCAGGGTTCACACCATTTATTTCTGCCTAAACCTGAGTTGGCCTTGGGAGCTATCGCTTAGTTCAGGCTGCATTTGATAGGACTCAGAACCGTTCCCAGTTTTGGAAAACTCGGCCCTGTACCTGTCACAGGTTTCTGTATTAAGGAGTTTAGCTTATTCCACTTCAAAGTCTCTTTTTATTTATATCTTTTTAATACTAAGCCATAGATACTGCTGAGTACTGACACCTCCCAAATTGTGGTTTTGGGCACCTGTCAAAACAAATGTGTTGCCCAAAGGAGAAGATAACAGTTCATATTCCTTAACTCCTTGAGTGCTCAGGGCAAATGTCTTTAATTTAGAGTGGGAAAAGATGGGTGATAGCAAGTCTGCAGCAAAAGGAAGATGTAAAAGAAATTATAGTGACTTGTTTCATGTCCTGATTTGATGTGGGCAGATCTTTCCTATGCAACCAAGCCTAAACTCCACGTTTACTCTCTTACTCTTGCAGTTTCCCATTGGTAGAATGGGAACAGCTCACATCACTTTACCTTACTCGGGGCATGGGCAGCAAGGATAAATTAAACATGGGATGCAACAGTGTGTTAGGGAGCATATGAATATTGTGGTAGGAGAAGTTTTGGTAAAGATACCATATTTGTCCAGTCTGCTTTCTTATAAAACAACTGACTTCAAGAAAATGAGATAGCCCCTGGTCCTCCTGAGGGCACAAACAACATGATGTAGCTAGACCATAGATTCCCCAGTGCCAAGAGCTGGAATGACAGCAGCGTGCTCTTTTTCCCCTCAGATTAGCAAGAGCTACTGGGACAGGACAGGAGACTGCAAGCGAGAGGAAAAATGACAAAGCAGTAAGTATAATTATTCCTTTGCTTCTTGAAGATGCTCAGAAGAAAATCTAATTTAGTGATATCTGGAAGAACCCCTGACTCAGGTTTTGGGTTTGTAAAACTGAAGCTAGGGCTGAATGCTTTTTTTAAAAAAATAGGGGGAGACCCAAACAAAATTAAGTGTGCAATGTAACAGCGACACCTCACCCAGAGCTGCAGCGCTGAACATGGCATCACATTGAAACCAGTTGGTTTTAAGTGAATTCTGGTACAGTGTGAACTCACTGTCACTCAAAGCCTCTCCCATGCTGTGCCAAAACTGCAGCAGTGCTGGGGTGTGGGGTGCCTGCTTTCTCCCTGCCATGAGAGGGCCTTCAGCCCCACTGAGAAACAAGAGGCACGCAGTAGAGTATTTTTAAATGAATGGTACTTCTCCATATAGACTTACTGCCCTCCGGTGGCTGCCACAGAGCATCTCCAATGCAGAAACGGAGACCAGGGACCACGGGAAACAACAAAATAAAATAACTATATATTCAATTTAAACCAAACCACAGTTTGAGTTACAAGGAGGAGGAAGACAAACACATGGTGCAATTAGCTCGAAGTACTTAGGGAGGCAAGAACAAAGCAGAGAAATTTACAGATCTGGGAGTAGCAAGGAGACCTCCAATTACTTCGTTTTGCAAGGACTGGGTCTTGAGCTACTCTTCACCAGAGTCCCACCAGTGAGTGACATTTACTCAAAGAAAGTTGGTCCATTTAACTTCATCTGATTGCCCCATGGAGGAGACTTCACTTGCAGCTGGTGCAAAGAAAGTATGGGACAGGAGACCACTGCTCCTTTTCCTGCCTGTGGTAGACATGTGCTGTGTCTTTGCTGTACCTATTAACCCTCGGCCCAGCTTCAGCAGTGTTTATAAAGCCCTTGCTGAGACACCTCACATTGCAAATGTGTCCTTTTCTCTCAGTGAGCCAGAAGGAGATGACATTTATAGCACAGATTGACTGTTCTGGGGGACTTCCCTTAAAAGCTTGAACTTAGGTTCTATGAATGGTACCTTGAGTATCCCATAAGAGCTGCTGTGGAAGCACTGCATGGTTCTGCAAGGAGTGTCCTACCCTCTCCATTTTCACAGTTTAGGCCATGCTGCATTACTTTATGCACAGGTGAAAATGTCCAGTGAGATGAGAAATCACTCAATATCGTTTTAACACTTGTGTGTATGTGTGTGTATATACACACAGACACACACACAGTGAATCTATATATATTTGTAGTAAATACACATGAACTTTTACACAGTTAAAACCACTCCAGTATAAACACGATATACTCCTATCATTCACCAGGACAATACATTTTGTTGCATGGACAGAATCTGTTGCTCAGTTACCTTTTGTAAGTTATGTAAAATTGTTCAGAGGAAGGCCAATCTTTGGCAAGCACAAATCCACAGAAAACCACCAGCTCCAGTAGTCATCCTTCAATACCTGAAGGTACCACCCCAGTTTCCTTCAAGTATCAACTCTGCTTTCATAGAAAAAGAATTTTCTCACAATATGCTACAACCTTGTTAAGTCAAATCGAGATTTTTCTTCTAGTACATACAAATATTTCACATCCTCTCTACATCATGCAATGCAAAAAGTAAAATCATGTTTGCAAGTGATCGTATTCTGATTTGGCCCCATAACTGTTTTAGTTTATAAAAAAAAAAAAACAAGCCAATGAAAACACACCAAACCCAAACAAAATGAAAAACCAGCTCTCACATAAAACTTAAAAATCAGTAGATAGAGCTCTAGTGATTGACGTTTCCAAAGGAAATACCTTTTAGTAATAATTAACTCTGTCTGCAACTGTTAAGTCCAAACATTGCAAATGTAAGAAATGAGGACAGAAAACTAAACAAAGAGCAAGAACCACTCACTTGTCCAAACTGAGACACACACAACTCATAAAAACCCTTACACACTTTAAAAAAAATTGTTTGAATCACCTGTGTGACGTCCTTGTTAAATATCAAAGTAGATTAGCTTGAATAAGTCTATTGGAAAAAGCACTACCTTAAAAATGCGTAGTTCAAAGCCTTATCTAAAAAGTATTTTCAGAGATTAAATTCTCTATCTCTCAATGACATTGCATTATTCACAAACCCTTGCATAATATTACATTTTGAAACACTGGCATTGATCAGCTGTCAAAAAATACCCAGAGCTTGTTTGCATAATAAACACTCAAGTAAAAAGGAAAAAAAAGTATATCAGAGAACTTGGCTATTTCTAGAAAACTGACTCTCAGAGTAGAAATAAAATTACTTTAAAAGGTGGAGAAAATAGTAGTGTTCAGTCAGACCTGTGTTTTTTACTGGAGACAAGCACTGTGATTTTTTAATTTCTTTTTGATGAACTCACTTGAGGGCGTGTAAATATCCCTAGCATTAATGATGCCTTACGTAGAATAATGTAACAACAGATTAAAGTTTGCACCTCCATATTTTGATAGAAACTATGACAGGGTATTTCCAAAAGAGTCCCTCTGACATTAAATAGCTATTTTAAAATTTGTAATAAAAAAAATAATTTTTAAAGAGTACCAAAAACTACATAAACCAAGTCTCAGTAAGTGTAAAAGAACCTCTTCATAAAAGGAAGGTAAATCCTCCTTCGGAGTGGTTACAGCAATGCACAGAAATGAGACCAGAAATACACACAAGAAGTTACAGCTCAACTGATTTACTGGAGTTGTGCAGTAATTTCCACCTTATGGCAATTTGAGGATTGTACTACGGACCCAGAAAAAGATTTCCAAAAAGACAAAACGCCAGGAGGAGACAGTAAAAAGTCTCTGTCTTCCCGCACTGAGGACCTAATGTGCTGGAATGGGCAGCCTGGCCTTCAGCTGCAGAAGGGGATGCACTCAGATCCAGAAGTTTGCTGTGTGAACGTCCCACTGCCATCCTGTCTAGACCCATCACGGCTCCCTGCGTCTCACTAAGGTCAGAGTAACCAGGCATTTGGGGCAAGTTGTGTACATAGAGGCCAGTTCAACCTCACTTCTCTTATGCTCACAACCAGGTGTAACGCGTTCCTCTGTTGTGTGCATGCAGACTGCTATGCTTTTCTGATTACAAGTATGACAGACTTGCACCACGTGTTTGAACAGCACTTCAGAAGTGTGAAGCATTAGCAATTCCTGAGTACAGTTACACTTGACCACAAGTCCAGGGCTAAAACATCTTAGCTTCTGGAAGCACAGATCAGACCCCTCACCTCTCCAGTGTCCCATGCTGCATACAGGTTTCTGTGCTCACAACAGCCAGTGTGCGCATCAAATGACCTAAAAGTAATGCTCTGACATCAGCAGCGAGCCAGGCTTTTCACTGGAGTCCAAGAGTCCTTTGAAAAATCTCAGTTCAAAATGTAACTATTCAATTTTTAGTACACATCATGTCACAGAGTTAGTGTTTTTTGTTGCAAATATATGGCACTAAGTGTCAAACTTTATGACTTATTCCAAACAGTGTACCATACTTCACAGCAAAGCTTTCAAATGAATCCTCTAACTCCCACTTCTAAATATACAGCTGGTGGGAGGCCAGGGTGTCCATGAATGGTCGCACAAGGTTGTCTGTCGAGAAGTAAAAGACCAAGCCAAAGGTGATGGAGATGGGAAGAGCAGGCAGTGCTTTCTTAAAAACAGCCAGTAATAAAAGAGTTAAGCATAAACCCTGCCAGAGAGAAGAGAATAAAAAACATAAGGAGATACAGTAAGAAGCCCAGAAAGGTATCTGTCATCAACAAACTAATATACAAATAATAAGCTATATACACTGTAGAGCAATTGAAGCCTGCCCGAGCTACCAGTGCTATGAGGTACATTTATCCACACCTCTTGAGCGTAACTCTTTGTCAAGAAAGTGGTATAAACAGCTAGTGCTGACATACACCTGACCCCAAGAGGTTAATTTATTTACAGATTATTTTACATTTTGTTCTACGCCATTATGCATGAAGTACTGATCCAGCAGATAAAAGCACTTAAATCCTGGTGAGCTGCACAGATAAGGAGTTTCACTGGAGGACTAATACACAGCAGCATGTACTTCTAACACCTTCCCAGTTTTCAAGGTCTCTTGGGGTAAAAAAAAAAAACAAGAAAACAAACAAAAACCCACCCAAAATACCCACTGCTGTACATTTGACTGTATTGCTTACTATGATTGGTGATTTCTAGTTTTATCTGGGTAACAGGCCAAGATCTGGTTTTTTAAACATATGTGAAAGCTTTTCTGTATTTTGGGTAGACAGTATGGCTAAGTACACCTAAGTATGGATTCCTTCTCTCATCTGAGCCCTTTTTTCTTTCTCCACGATGACAACTTCAGAGACACTGGGCTCCCAAAATTTTCACAGCACCATAGAAGAAACAGAATGAGGCATTTGGCCTCATGGACAGACAGGAGAGGGCATTTTCACCAGCAAAGGAGCCCTGTGCTAGATCTTAGGATATGGAGCTAGGTCATCTTATAGGTTTCTCTGACCTGCGAGGTAGTGTTGCGTGTAGCTTTCCTACATTAGTTCACTTCTAGTTCTCATGCTTTTTAATCCATGATCTTCACAAGTGAAAGCCTCTGTCTTTCACTATTCTTGGGATCTAAGTGGGGAAATGGGCCTCCATGGCCAAGATAATTAATTTTCTTCGACCTTCTAAAACTCCTGCCGTTGCCCTTCTAGTTAGTTTCTGTGAGGATGCTGGTGTAAACAGCAAGTTCCCAGTAATTATTTTATAGCTAGGTGAAAGCTCAGCAGTGTGTGGTCATTAGATCTGAAGGACCAAGTCCTTTAGCAGTTGCAGAGTGATTGTCATCTGCTTCTGCTGATCATTTCCATGGATTAAGTCTCCTTCCTTCCTGATTTTTTTCAGCATGAACACAAGAACAAGATAGGTCTTCATCCTCTTTTAGCTGTTCTCCTTAGCAAAAGGGAGTTAACCTTTTTAACTACACTTAATCAATGTGGAGTTCCTAATACTGACTCTTATGGCTGACAGAAGTCCCCAATCTTTAACACTAAAGCAAGCACACCAACAGGTGTAACTGTTTCTCACTGGGGTTGTTTCACCTCCACTACTTCCAAACTTAGCTCTGCTCTAAGGAATTCTCCCTCTCAGCCCATATCACTCATCTTCTTGCAGCAACTGTTTAAAGCCTGTCTTTATAGGCAGCACTGGCCTGGGAAATCCACTGTTAGTTTCTCCTAAAAAGCCAGCATGCATTGAGGTGCACCCACTGCAAAAATTTAGCAGTACTCAGCTGCTGGTACTTCTGGCAACCCCACTGCGCTAAACAGGCTGTAACAGAGTCCTTAAAAGCTTGCTGACTTACTATGAGAATGGCTACAAAGCAGGCCAGCGTAGTATTCCAGTCTCCACTAGCGGTGGCAGCAGCTTTCCCAACAAGCACGCTGTAAAATATGAAGTCTCCAAGACCCAGCTTCACACCCCCTGAGAGAAGTGAAAAAAGAAAACAAATGTTACTTCCGCTTTTCCTGTTTTGCTTCCTCCTGAGCAAATTCTTGTCCCCTGGGGAGCAGGTGAAGGTTCCTGCTTAAATTATCCGCATAGCCAAGAGATGTCACTGGAACCACACTCCCAGAACAGATACTGCAGCAGCAAGAAGTAATACAGTCAGACACGAGATATTTGTTGCTCAACATGTCACAACTCATCAAACCACCTGCAGTTAGGCTAAACCAGGTAAGAGTTTTAACCACAATGAGTAAAAATACCAGGTGCTGAACTCCAACTACACTGCAAACAAGCTATGAAGCTTACTCCCTTACTTTCCTCCTCCTCGAGCTCCTCGGAAGAAGTGGTGGGGTGGGTTGGAACAGGACTCCTCATCTCTGACACCTGAGACTCTGCATGTGAAGGGCTCCTGTGGTTCTCTCTCTCATCTTCAGCTTGGTTCCATGAAAACAGAACAAAAGCCGAGTAAAAAAAAAAAAAGAAACACAAGAGGTAGCTACATTTATAACTTGCTTTAATGCAACTTCTGTGAAGCTTCTCTGGAATGGGTAAGAAGCAGCATTCTTGCCCTTTATTTCTTGGAGGTGTGATCATCAGGACCAGTTCACGCAGAGACATTTAGTGGATTAGAGGAAAACACATGTGTTATTACTTGAAATAGTCAGAAGGGTACATGTTCACAGCTTCTTTGGCAGCTACCCAGGAGTTTAATGGCTTTAACAAGTGAGTACATAAGCAGAACTAAGCATTGCTCTGCATAGGCTAGAATGGTAAGTAAAACCAAGTAAACTTAGTATGCACTCCCACGTTGTTACTTCTTTGAGGTGGAGGTGCTCAAATATTCCTTAACTGGTAGTGTGAAAATATGGATGACTAAAAGGACTGCCATGTATGAGAAAAGTTCTACCCTGAATCACATTGACATTGGGGCTGGATGTTCACACGTAGTAAGCGGACACATTTTGTTGTTCACTATTTTAATTTTTTTTTTTGTCCTGTTAAACACATGTAACAGAGCCCTTGGTAATGCTTTTGGAAGCAACCAGTCTGTGATACAGTACTCTGACAGTTCCTATTTTGCAGAAGCACTCATACAGACTTTCCAGTCCACATCAGTCTGACAGGATGCTGTCACTGCAGATGTGAGCGTCCTGTGATCTGGGACACAAGAGCTTCCACAGTGGCATCCTGTATGCTTCAGCATGTAGTTTCCTCCTGCTCTGTGCCCAGTTTCAAAGCAGAATTGTGTCCCTGCAGTTTGTAAGTATGTCAGCTGAAATATGCAGCATATTCAGGTATCAAGCCTTAGCATATGTTTATTGCTTTAACATAAAAAGGTACTGTCATCTCTGAAGTGCAACGGGACCAAATGGGAAACCCTCCCAACACCACAAGTCAGATTTTATTCAATCACCTTCAAAACTGCAGTTCAACTTGCATTTCAAGAAGATAAAGGCATCAAAATCACCACATGACCAGCTATGACACCACCTACTGTTGGGTAACTGCCCAAGGGTGAATGCAAAGATGTTAATTTTCTTTGGCAGGGTAACCCATATTGCACTTACAGCTTGGTGAAAGCACGTCGGTTCCGTGGCAATGGCTTGAATGCAAAACACTGCAACACACTTAAGTTCACCAGCTCATTGCCATTATATTTATGAGCCTATGTGTAATTTACCATCCCCAGCTAGTAAAAATATAAACCCCCACTAACCAGCTTTCAGCTTTGACTTCAGTACATCTGAATGTGTGTGTTGGATAGCAATTTTGTTTGGGTTTTTGTTTGATTGGTCTGTTTGGTTTCTCTAAATAAAGGCAGCCTGAATACTGGAGCTTCCTATATCATCAGGTCATCTTTGCTGCCAGTCCTAAGAGCAGGTTTCAGAAAATCACCAAGTTCTGCAACTAATGTAGCAACACTGAAGAAAAGTGCATCCATCAGGATTCAGGTGCTTACATTTAATTGCAGTCTCACACATACACATTATTTCCATGGGACAGCATGCCGTATAGAAAAGTGACTTGCAAGCAAACCTGTATCCCATGTCTGCTGACTTGGTCCTCTTGCTGCTGTGTCTGGCTTTGCCATTCCAACTGTCCACATCATAGCAGCTAGAAAAAAGAGAGAAAAGTAATCAGCTGCATAAAACATCGGTCACTATAGCTCAGAGGAGCCAACTATTTAGCAGTCCCTAAAAATATAAACCCTTGCCCCTGTCAATACTTTTAAAACTATCTTAGGTGGTTTCCCTAGGCACTTAGAAGGCAAGATGGGAGAAAATTAAGACAGTGCATCCCTTCAGTATTTAAGAAAGTCCTAGAGCACAAATAGCTCAAAGTCAGTATACTCTTCTCTATAGGCTAAAGAAAGGAAAAAAACAGGACTAGGGTCCTCATCTTCTCTGATTTCTTCTTGGCATCTGACTCTTCTCTTCAAAGAAAACAACTGCCCAGGAAATGATGGTAGTACAAAAGGTAACCAGAGGTTACCATACACAGCTCACTCCTCATGTTCTGCTAAAGGTAAAGCACACAAGCGAGGGATATGCAGGAGTTGACAGAATGCCAGTTTTCTCTCTGCCTGTTTGTTTTGCTTCTCTCCTGTCAAAATATTGGCTATTTGTTTTGGTTCCAAGAACAACTGAAGGATGTTTGGGGGTTTATTCTTGACATGGATCCCTAAATTAAGGATAAATAAAAAGGAATATAAACCATTCTGAAATCAGTGGTATGGAACTCAAATCAGCTCTTTATTTAAGTGTGCATCAGTCTTCCTGTTTTTGTAGAAGCTAAAGTAAACAAAATAAGCCAAGGCAAACACAGTGCCTGCTTTTCCACAATGAGCTCAGCCAAGGTGATGTTTCTGCACCTAGAGAGAGCCACAGAATGTGGTCTTGCAATGGAGACACTGACATTCTGCACAAGAACTTTTTGTTCAGTATTTATTATTTGTTGAATTGCATTCTCCTCTAGAGAAACTCTTGTTAACTAAAACATGTGAGAGACTTCATCTAGATTGTCTCTGGTCAGTATAACAGAATCTCCAGTAAAAAGGAGGTCAGCTGAAGCCAACAGAAGCTCTGTTTGGAATGTATAAAAGCATTTATATAACATTAAAAGCGTGGGGGGAAAAAAAGGTCAATCAGATTGTAGGCATCCTCAACTGAGCATTCAACATTTGGAAATAGCCATTCATCTTATGAGCAATGCTTGCTCATCACACGTTTAAAGTGTGTCTGTGAAGTACAAGGAATAAGTGTATTGAGCCAGCTTCATCTCATCACAGGATTTTGCAAGCACTACTGTGCATCCAACACAGGCTTTTGCGTGCAGAACAAAAGCGCATGTTCTGCACTGTATTCACAAAAGCATAAATCTGCTTTTCAACATTTCAGCTTCATAAGGCAAATGTGGGCTCCCTTTGGCTAATGAGAATTAGCACCACTGTAACTGATAAACAAGGCCTTCTACAAATGGTCTGTTCCAGAACATAAACGCGCACCAGTCTTAGGGCAAGGAAGAAACTAAAATAGTGCTTTTTGATTTGACACAGAAATAGGTTGCGAGTTTAATCTAGTTAAAGACATTAACATTCTAATCTTACTCACAGGAATATATTAACGCAGGAAAAATGGGCTCATTTCTCTCCTGTGCAGTTTCTACCAGCATTCTCAGTGGCCCCTTGGGACAGAGAACAGCCATCAGATCTGCAACGAGAAAAGGGCCAACCTCATCTCAAACCGTCATGCACGTTTTACATTCTTTATCTTTAAAAAAGCTATTCTCCCCTCAAAATGACATCTATCAATATTAACTGATTATTTTCTGAACCGCAGCTTCTGCCATTTTGTGTAACTCCAGCTGTTCTAGTCCCTGAAGATGCTCACTTAAAATACCATCGCCAAGGCTTAATGTAAGTTTTCATTGTGCTAATCCTATAAAAAGCCTCTTGAGAATACCATATTATTTCTTTGAAAGTAGATGACAGCATTAGATCGAGGTGTTACATTCAATTAGAGGAGGAGTGTGGGTACTTCGTTGACATTCCACAACCTATTGCTATGTATGCTGACTCTGTGTTTCACATGAATGAAGGCTTTTGGTCCAGTTCCTCTTTGCTTATCTTCTCTCCTCTGTCAGGACTCCTCACCAATCTGAATGTTACCTTCCAGCCACGTCTTGTTCTGCAGGTTCTCTTGACACTTTTAAGTCATACCAAAATCCAGGATCTCTCAATAACCATAACAGAGCAAAACCTGCAATACTATCAGGTTGCTACTGATAAAAATCCAACCACCCCTACCATGCAGTCAGATGTAGTTTAGTACTTCCCTGACTTGATGCTCCACTTTGAAAGACACAGTAGGAGTACAGTACCTACATGAACAAGTTAGCAAGAAACAAACCAGGGAGTCAACTTAATTGCCCATCTGCCTCTTTCTAAAGGTGCTAGCACCACAAAGTAGTTTTTTGGATAACATCCACAGTCCTGAGATCGCCTCAGTGTAACATCTCGGATACACACCTTGAGAGTCACAACCTTGACTTACCATAGATGGAGATTGCACCTAGAATCACCCATGCTGACCACTCAGGTAGATATTTAATGAAAACCAGTGCCATCAGAGCACTGATCATAATGAGATATGCCTGCTGGAGCTGCAAGGGACCTTTCCAGTGTATGCAAATCATTCCAACAGCTCCAAAATTCCAGATTATTAAGATGAGAGTGGGGTAATCCATGGCCACATTGTATGTCTTCAGTACTTCACTGGAATACAAGAAGAAAATTTAGCTGAGCAATAAAAACAACTGACATACAAAGCATGTCAAAGCTGTAGGTAAACAAACAAACCTCCCATTACACCAGGAGGAAATAGGATAGAAGCAGCTTTCATCCTGAAAGGGGAATCCGCCTTGCGGCCAACTACTGCTCTTAGCTGTTCCCTCAGCAGGAGATGGACGCGCTGTGCGCGCAGTCCTGAGGTCAACAACAATTCCAAGGGCTTGAGCAGGCGGGATTTCAAGTTTTAACTGAGCATAGGCCTGTGGCTACGTGACCACTTCACAGCAGACAGTCACGTAAAGAGTCATCCCACCAAATGCATGACGCTCACTGTTTCACAAGCATCACCAGCAGGTTAGAAGTTTTGTTCCATCCGAGCTGTGAGCTAAGGAAATGAGCTTGAAGTGATGTAGTCTGAGAAAAAGGCAAGGCAAATCAGAGAACCAGCTCGGTACATAAAGTCTCTTTCCACCTGCTTCTCAAAGTATAATTGTACCTCTGTACCACAAGGCTCAGCCTGTTCATTTCATGCTCATGGTATCACTTCCCAGTGATTTTTGTAGAGTAGGCACTGTGAAATCAGGCATTGCCTATTAAAGACCTCATTTCCAATTTTTTTAAAAAGAAAGCTATCCCATGCTAGCAATTTTCAAACCTCTATTTGGAGAAGGGGAGACATTTGTTTACTTGTTCAACTTGGGGATTTTCTGCAAAGAGATGAAGAAGCCCTGAACTGCCAGGTTGCCTGCACCATTCCCACTTACCCCAGGTATATGTAGGTAAAGAGGAAGAGCAGCATCAAAGAGGACAGGATCAGCCAGCCATGGATGAACTATCAAGGGCAAGAAGAGACAGTGATTGAAGGAGCTGTTCTCACTCACACAGGTCACAGTGTTGCATGCACTACTGACAGAGCTTCCTACTGTCCAACAGTCTCCTCCTTCATTCCTACTCTTAATTTCCAAAGACTGCCTTCCCCATTGTCAGTGAGGGAGAAGGTACAGACAGTTGCTTCCAAACTCTTACATTTTATATTCTATCCCTTGGTGTTTGTTTTTGTTGATCTCAGGGGTTTTTTTACTGTGTTTCCTATCCATTTCCATGGGTATCCATACTGGCTCTCAGCTTAGAAAGATAAGCACATTTTCTCTGCCTGGTCGGGAGGAGGAGAGGTTTGCCTAAGGCTGTACAATAAATCCATCTTGGGGCCAAATTTTAAAAGCAGTAATGGCCAATGCTCAAACACTGTGCTGGTATCACATACAACAGCTCCTTGGGCACCACAAAACCTGAACATGCCTTTCCCTCCAAGCCTTGTCGTGTTCCATCACAGCCTCCACAGGCAGGAAGGACACCAGTTCCCACAAAGCTTGTCTGAAACTTCTTAGGAGAAGGCATTCGCAGTAAATGGTACAACTTAATCTGTAAGTACAAACTGCAAAAAACTTTTTGATCAGATAGAGAAGACTCAGACCTGACTTACACAAAGTAGCAGGTCTTGGTTTTAAGAGCTTACCCTTAGTGACAAAATAACAGCAAAGCATATTCGGGGGCACAGCTCTACCACCACCGACAAAGGCTTCTGTAAAATACGATTCCTGTGTACTCGCCAGTGCAGTGCTTGTATTCCTCACTGACAAGCAAGCCCCATTTGAACTCAGGTTCACAGCATACAGGTGGAAAAGGCTCTAGCATGACAGCTTTACCTTGTAGCAGCGATATTTATAGAGCAGAACTAGGAACACGGTCATTACAACGATGACACTGATCATTATGATGGTGTTCAACACCGAGTTCAAAAGACGCTGGCCCACAGATGGGGTATCCTCACTGAAAGGGGTGTAGATCCTGCAGGTGAAAGCAAAAGCCATACAAAGTACATATATTCTCTTTTGTCTGCCCCAAGATAAAACCAGACCTCTCTGTGTGTGGAAAAGACAGGGAGGTGTAACTGCCAAGGACAGCAAACACGAGATGTAGCCTCTGAAGGGGCTGGGTTCCAGTTAATTATCAACTAAAGCTTAGTGGTCTCCATCAAAAGCACATTCCTACAGAGAAACTGTGGCTGGCAGAGCTCTAAACAAAAAGATCTAGAGTATAAATGGCTTCATTTAAGTTTAGTAACTTTTCTCCAGGCCACAAATTTTTATTGCATGCTCTAGATCCAATTCATGGTAACTATAAGGATACATCCCAGAACCTGTCCTGAAAAGGGGGGGACCCTTTCTTTCCACTTCATAGGTGTCTTGGACTCTCTTATCCATTCTCATCCCCCACACCCACCCCCCACACACACTATTTTGTTTCCTTTGGTTCAGTTCAAGGGACCACAGTCCCCATTTCTCCACCCGCCATGTGAAGCCCCAGGAGTGCTCTCAGGCAGTGACCAAGAACTGGATGGAATTACATATCCACACCATGAGTGTTTAGGAACCAGAAATGTCATCAGGAAATGAGACACTCATCCAAATGAACATGCTATTCCCTGATCACTGCCAGCTACTGGGTGAACAGACTGGGAGTTCAGTGTGGGCCTTTTATGCTGCAATATGAAGCAACTTCATCATTACACTGCTCACAGGCTAATGACAGTGCTAACGAATCAGTATAAAGCAGCTATGGAAAAACTTACACAGATGAACATAGCATACTTTAGTAAGGTGCTTGTTTAAACAGCCACCTTTAGCTGTGTAAAGGTTCTCTCAACCTGCCAAGGCATCGCTCTGTGTACAGACATGCATGTGTGGAACGTGTATGTAAAGCTAGGGATCCCATGTACTCAGAGGCTGTTTTGAAGACCCCACTTACAGCTGCCCGTTTTTCTCCGTATAGAAGCGCACTGACTTTATGGTGGCGACGACAACAATCATACAAAGGGTGACAGGCACAAAGAGCATGATTACATGCTTTGCTCCATATTTCAGAGTCAGTTCCTCCTCTTCATTTTCCAAGGCACTTTCTCTCACTGGAACACCAGACATGTCTCCATCAGCAATATGGTTAGGGTTACGGCTGCTACCTGTTCGCCTCTTCTGAAAAGAAATATTAGCAAATATGTAAGACACTTCTTTACTTTGTATTCAAAGCTTCATTCCATCATATTTCAGTTTGTTCCTACTAGAAAGGTACCAACTGAACAATACAATTAGAAATTTAATTACAGGCTGCAGTGGAGAATTTAAACCAAAACCATGAATATCTAAGGCCCTCTTCAAGTGCAGATATACAGAGGGACACATGTACGTGAAGGGCAAGGTGCACGGAACTGAGATAGAAGAAATGCCATCCGAGGTGGCAGAAGCTTGATCAGTTCCTCCTACCACAGCAACACTGTGCTTGCTTTACTCTGCTGCTCTGCTGGCAGCAGAACTAGATTCTGTTCCAACGTTTGCTGTATTTGACCAGAGCAGACAAAGCATTTCTGGCAAAACAAGAAGGCTGAAAAGGATATCCTGCAAGAGTCATATGTGCATCAGGTACCGATTAACAGCCTGTATCTTTACCAAAAGGAAGGAAAAGGGAGGAGTATATATAGAGATAAAAGGGGGGGAAAGTCACAGTAGATTGGAATAAGCACTGCTGCTGCTGGCTGAGTGTGACACCAGAGAAATAACACTGGCCAAAGCCAATCCCAGATGTTAGTCTGCTGGGATGGATGGAGGGTAGCAGGACTACATTCATCATCCTATCCCACTTCTTCACTCCCCAGGAAGGATGCACACCTACCCTCTGTGCCTGCGCTTCCCCTGCTTCTGAGGCTTGCAGGCCATCCTGGTAGGAGGGCACTGGTGGGCTCTCTGCAGACATCAGGGATGTTCTTTCATTGCAGGGCTCCTCCTCACTGTCTGAGTTGTTCATGAATGTGATCATCGTCACTCTCCTGGGGAGCACTCAGAAGGAGCACGGCCAAGCGCTACTCAAGGCTGAAGGGACAAACGGAGCAGAAGGAATGAGAAACAGTGAGCACAGCATTGCAAACAACTGGAAGTCTGAGGAGGAGACACAGT